CACATAGCTATAGCACATTTCTTTAAGAGTTTTATGTCTTATTTAAAAGCCTAGAGCGTAAGCTGTATCTAACGTTCTTTTAGCGCGTCTAAGTAGTGTTGTGGGGAATGTATTAGTGTAGGAAGGGTGGTTTAGTAGGGTCTTAGCAAAAGTAAGCGACTTGGGTGTGTGAGCAACTCGCCTATAAAGTACGTTATAGCTTTTTTTTTATATTTTTAAAGTTAATCTAATTATAGCTTATACTTTTAATGTTCTTATATTATGCATTCTAAGATTATATAGTAATAGTTTTTTATTTTATAGTAATACAGCATCTAGTTATTCTATTAATAGGCCTTTTATTAGAAGTAGTAGAATGTGCAGGTTATTCTGTTATTACATTTAGTCTATAGTTCCTGCTTATGTTCTGTGCCTATATAGCAGTAAGCACACTAGGGCATTTTACAGGTTAAAGCTATTCTAGGGAGCGTGTTGTTTACAAGTTTGCTTTTTTAGATCCTGTACAGCTACTAGCTAGCTCTATGCTTAATTAGCTAGTGTTTAAGGCAGTACTTATTAGTACATAGATACTAGGCGTAGGGGCATTCCTTTAGGTTGTTTTATACTAGTAGTGGTTAGACCTATGTCTATCTTAGGTATTCTTTTATTCTTATAACTTATAAAGGGTAGCTTTAATATGTGTATTAGAATTTATTATGTTTATAGCTTTTATAAAAAATATAGTATTTTTTTTATTAGTAAGTTTCTAGATCTTTACATGTAACTACTAACGCTAGAGGGGGTGTGTTAGCTCTCTAGTTATAAGGTTTTAAAGTTATAAAAGAAGTGCATTACTAATTAAAGCTTTTTTTTTATTTAAAATTTTTTAGAACAGCTTTTATTATTTCTTAGTGTTTAAGACTGTGTAGTATATTTTAGTAATTTTCTTAAGTATGCTATAAGTGTTAGTGTTATTATTAATATGTACTTTATATATTATTTTATTATAGTTTTATAAGTTATAAGTGTTACTACACTTTTAGTAATTTTTATAAGTAAATTAGTATTTTAGTTCTTAAGCTAAAATTCCTATTATTAGTTATTTTAAAGAAAATAATTTTTTTTCTTTTTTAATGTTTATAACATATGTTATTGCTTATGTAAAGCTTTACTATTCTTTATAAATAGCTGCTTGTTTTAGTGCTTTAAATATATTAAAGTTATTTTAAACCTTAACTTTCTAGTATTCTATTAGGCATTTTTTAAATTTATAATTGCCTCTGCATTGCTAGTAGAGGTTCTTGTCTAGTCTGTCTAGGATTTTAGGTCCTGTTAGACTCTATTCTATATGCATTACTTTAATAGCTAGTCTTTTATCTTTATTTTTTTAGTTACTAGAGTCTAAGCATTTTTTATAATAATGTTTTACTTTTTTATAGTTAAGGTATACTTACTTTTATTTCTGTTATTTATTAGTTAGTAGTAGCTTTTTACTTTTATAAAACTTACTTTTTTTCTTAGTTAAGCCTTATATATGTTTAGTATAACTAAAGTCTATTAGTTTACTATTAAACTATTAGACCTTCTTTTTTCTTTAGAACGCTTTAGGTTTCTAAGGTGTTACGCTAGAGTGTTTTTTTTAAAAACATTTATAATACTGTTTATTATATGTTATTACCTTTTTTATATATTCTTTAAATTTCTTTAGTTTACTATAATACATAAATTTATTTTTAACTTTATTAAATAGTCTATTATAAAACATTCTTCTAATAGCTAACTAGTTAGTTTATTTACTAATAGCTAACTGTTTGCAGAAGTAGGCTGCGTATATTTAAACTAAACTTTTTTTTATTAGAGAGTGTTTATTCTATTTACTACTTTTTCTTTCTAGTTAGCTTACTTATAGATAGTTATAAAAGCTTATTTAAAAGTGTTTATATTTAAAAAAAATTTTTAAGTGTAGATAAAAAAAACTTTTTTAGTTACTTTATATTTTATTTAGTTATCTATGTGTAGTTAGAACTAGATAGCTAAAAACCCTTCTAGATAAAGTTTTATTTATAAAATTATTTCTTTATTAGTTTAAAAAGCGCTTTTATTATATTATATATATAAGTAGCATTAAGTAAAGAATAGTTTAAGATTCTTTACAGTGCTATTAAATAGCTTAGGTAGGGCTAAGTGTAAGAACTTTTTTAATTTAATGCTAGCTTTTTCTTTAGCAGAGTTATAAAGTTCTACAACTTCTATATAGAGGGCATAGATTTATTAGACATAGGGTTATTACGCTTGTTACTAAAGCTAAGCTTTAAGTGCTTTAATTTCTTAGCAGAGATGTTAGATTTATTAGATTTATTTCTTTTTATTTCTAAATAAGACCTTACTAGTGCCTGCTACACTAGCTCCTATTATACTAATATTAAAGGATAAGGTGTAAGAGGCTATACTTTTAAAGTAGTAGTAATTAATGTTATAATTTTTACTTTAGAGAAATAGTAATTCTAGAGTACAACAGCCTTTTAGTTAATAGTGTAAGAGGGGAAGAACTTAGCTAGATTAGGTGTACAGTCTGTTTAGCAGAGTGTAGGTGTAGCAGAGTTTAGGAGGCAGGCTGTGGTTTCCCCCTTGTAGCTGTATAAGTAGCTAGGGTGTACCTAGTTAGGTAAATAAGGGTTAGAGGTATATATGTTGCAAGGTATATAAGGCAGCTAAGTCCTCTTTATAAAGAAGTAGAGCTTTTTAGTCTATTATAAAAAATAAACTAAACATTAATTACAACCTTCTAGCTATAGTTAGGATTAAGACTATATACAAATGTGTTGCATGCTTGCATGCTTGCATGCTGTTTTCCTTTGTAGCCTGCAAGCGCGCAAGCCTGCAACCTTTATCTTATTAGACAATGCACTCTGCCAAGCATTTATCCATAAGATAGCGGGATACTCTCCGGTGAAAACTACAGTCTATCAAATCTGCTTCCGTTTTCAAACATGAGTTACGCAGGGGTATAACGTGAGCTATGAGTAAGCAACTTGAGCACTCCTGAGCTCGCCCTAAGCCGACGTGAGCCAGCGTGAGTCTGCCTGATTTCATCCCTAAGCAGCATGAAATGGGTCTGAAATTAGGCCTAAACAGCTCGCGGAGTTGTAAGTCTGACTAGTCCCATTCTGGGCCACAGGGTGTTTAGTGGCTTAGATTTTTAGACCTAGTATTAGCAATACTTTCCTTTTCTTTGCAATCTCTAATGCTGTTTAAGGAAAGCAAATTAAACTATGCATATCTAACTAGTAATAGTGTCTATTACAACCTTTACAATTTTCATGCATGAAGCCCTTACAGACTAAATGTTTATTAGGACTAACCTTAACAATGCCTTAACGTATAGAAAGTGTGTATATTGACTGACTACTAGCTTCACTGAACTACAATCAAACATAGATATATACGCAGGATTAGACTCCTGGATAATTCTTAGTAGTAGTAGCAAATTCCTTAACTACTTGGTATCTTTGCTTAATCCTGACCTAAGGATTTCTGCCTCTGGCCAAAACAACCTTATGTCAGGGTAAGGTTGGGTAGCTTGGCAGGCATGGAGATGACTGGATGGAGATTAAAAGAGCTGCGTAATCAAAGCCTCACCATGAGAGAGTATAGAATCCGCCACCACCAGGGAGCGCCTCATGGACTGACGAATTGCCTGACGAAGCACACCCCAAACGAGCCGGAGCTAGGCGAACCGTCGTCGTTTCAAAGCCAGGCTCAAGGGGTCACAAGCCCTAGATGATGCGTCTGCGGACGCGCTGGAGATATCTAATTGGAGAATGAAGCCGCCATGGAGGGTAGTTTGGCCATAACTGAGGGAGGCTGTGAGAAACGGCGTACTGTGCAGCGACTCAAATCATGGTCATTGGAAGGAGAAACGGCGGGATATCGTTCCGTCAAGCGCCTCTCTGCTGCCTGAATTGTGATGTGAGCGGCGCATGACGCATAACGAGCATGGTATAGATAGCTGGTGCTAGCGGGCCTTCGGAGCGCGACCTGTTGGTGGAACAACGTCGTCATTTGCGCGAGCTGAATGGACACAAGAGTCCTGATATCGCACCACTAGCATCCGCGTAGAAAAATGAGTCAATGCCTGGCAGCCATGACTAGGTAGTTCGACATTCATGCGAGCATGCTGTGATGGAGCTTGCACTAGCAGCCATCTCTTCCACATCGCCTTCAATATGTCAGATAGCAGCGATGACAAAACGGCTGAACCACTTACCGACGACTGGTCAGGTGCTAGATTCAATTCGCTGAGGTTCACTTCTATTTGTTGGAGCGCAGGAAATATCCTGACAATGCTGTCGCGGACGTGGAAGCATAGGTGATTAGGCTCAAGGAAACAAAAATACCCGGCACTCAATTGTAGCACATTGGCAAGGCTAAGAATGCTGGGTAGGGACAGCACAAGTGTTGTTAACCATATCTGCATGGGTTTGGAAATTCGTTCACATGTTACAAATTTCGTTGGAGAGTATCAGCTCGTCTCCTGTTCTGCTTCCGGCGTATTTTGTTCTGCCTCTGACGTCTCCTGCTCTGCTTCCAGCTTCTCCTGGAACACTAGTATAGTCCAATCAAAGACGTTGTCGTACTGGAAGTGCTGGCGGCAGAACAAACCGCGGAATAGGCCTCGTAAACGCCTATAGTCGAGTTCCTTTCCCGAGCGGATAAGCTCAAAGTACTTCTTGAACTCAATGGGAACCCCCTCGAAGAGACCGTACTCCTCTGCTTGCTGCTTCTTCTGTGATATCAGGTTCTCCTTGTCCTTCGATTTATAGTTCAGGCCCTGCCAGGGAAGTGAGCCTTTAAGAAAGTACAAAAGGACATATCCAAGCGATTCCATGTCGTCGCGAGGGGACTGCTCTGCGGTAGCACGTTAAAAGTCGTCTCCTGTGCAATGTGCTGCACCTACCTTTTCCTAAGTGCGCATTGATGCTGGCGTATCTCAGCGTGCCGACGACTGAGTACATGCGCCTATCCCGATCCTCAATCTCTTTAGCCAGACCAATATCCGTTGTGTAGACCGTATTGCCGTGTACTCCGACACCCATGAGCAGATTGTCCGGTTTGACGTCTCTGTGGATGTACCCCTTCGAATGAATATATTGAAAGCGAGGAATGAGCTGGTCCGCGAGCAATAGTACCGTCTTTAAGGAGAATTTCCGGTCGCAATAGTTGAAGAGGTCCTCCAGACTTGGGCCCAAGAGCTCAAATGCCATCACTCTGAACTCGCATTCGGAGCCATACCAGAATACTCGAGGGATGCCATTGCCGCCATCGAGTTCTTTGTAGATTTCGACCTCATTTTCAAGTTGTGAAGGAGTGACTTGGTTGTACTCGAGTTTGAGAGCAACTTCTTTCCCGGTTTTGATGTCATGGCCTACATCAATCAGTCATTGTCATAAATGTTCCATTGGACATGCTCTTACCTTGGTACACTTCGCCATACGAGCCACCGCCTAGGCGAAGGTCTAGCTGATATTTGTCCCGTACGATGAGAGGTTTCATGGCGAGGAAGAAGGGGGGCACATGTCGGCAATCGCAAACCCTGCGCTTTTCACTGGATACGACAAGCCTGTAGTCGTGGTGTGCAGGAAAATAGAGACTGGAAATGAAGGTGCGTGCTGCTACATAAGCAGACCCGCGCTAAATCATGGCGGGGCACCTCCCGATCGATAGCTGGCGGATTGCAGCGACGAACGCCAATTAATGCGCAACTGTAGGCACTTCGTGAGTCATTGCCGCTGCCAAGCATGCGCTTGAACTATTCGGCCCCCACCCTTCACATTTCCATGGCGCGTACACTTCCATCGCAGATATCTATGCACCCTTCCCTCCACCTTTTTCCCACCATGATGCCTCCACAACAAGAGCTGAGGTCCCAAAGTCGAAAAAGAAAACGAGCATTCGAAGCAGTGCCAACTGTAGAGCCAGAATCGCAACCGCCACAAACGCCCGCCAAACGCCAAAAGCAGTCATATTCGTCGCGGAGCAAGACCCCTCCAGAGTTCTGGGACAAGCTTTCACGGGTGCCGCTCTGTCGTCGTGCGCTTCGAGAATTCAATAGACGGGAGATTCGGTCCATTACCCCACGACGACGCGCAAAGCGTGACGCTGACGACGGTCAAGTCAAGCAGCTACAGCGGTTTGCTCGACGTGGTGGCCCAGACCTTCGCAGTATCCGAGGGGTTAGTTCTGTCTTATCTGTGCAGGAGAGGAGAGAAGGTATGCTGACTTTCACAGTACCCAGAACAGGAACCACGAGACAAAATGCCTCCGAAACGTGGTCTATCTGGTCAATCCAGCCGGTCCAGCGCCCTAAACTCGAACACGAAACTGACTACATACTCTTCTAAAGACGCCGCCTTCGAACAAGAACTTATCGACAACGGTGTATACCCACCGGGATATGACGATGTCGAGCCAAGCAACTTAGAGGAGATAATAGAGAAATTGGGACAACCTCGTGCGTCTCTATCGCCTTCAAAATTTCTCGTGAAGAGTTCTTGCATTTCAGGCGCAGGAATGATGAAGCCACGACCGAAGCGGAAGTCATGAGCCAAGTCTTCCCAATGATCACAGGCAAGACCAAGATCCCATCGGGCTACAATCAGGTATTTAACAACCTTGCGCCACTTGGCGACCATATCTCCAACCCACAGCCGGACTACTTCAATGGCTCTCGCACTGCGGAGATCGGCCCAAAGTGCGGGATGACCTTGAGCAGTACATCATCCCTTCGAGCCAGCGACACCGTCCCGCGCTCCTGAACTTTTTCACTAAAGCGAAAGGCCCGGACGGAAAGGCGTCGGAAGCCAAGCGCCAGATCATGCAGGACCTCGCTGCAGGTGCCCGGGGAATGCACAAGATGCAGTCCTATGAGCTGGACGAGCCTGTGTTTGATAATAAGGCCCATACGTTCGGATCGACATACCACAGCGGCTACTTGCAGCTGTACGCGATGCATCCGACCGAGCCGGCGCAGACGGACAGGCAGCCTGAGTACCACACAACCAAAGTTAGAGGCTTTGATTTGACCGACAATCTGGACACTCATCGCCAAGGCATTGGAGCATTCCGCAATCTGCAAGATTTCGCCAAGGAAAGGAGAGATGAGTTCATTGCGTGTGCCAATGAGAGGGCGGATAACGACGATGAGCCCGAGGTCGCTTCAGCCGACGCTTACTTGACCTCATTCGTCTCGACCAGCCAGTCCGCGCAAAGTGAACTCTTCACAGCTGATTCTGACCGTGAAGAATCGGATTCAACATCAATAGACGAGCTTGCAATGCCAGCACCGCCGACAAAACGCACAAGGGCACGCCAGCCCGGTCGTAAGAAGCATAAGAGTAAGATTAGCGACTTGCTGGTTGACGAGGACGATGAATATCGGTGAGCGGACGGGCTCATTCGGGATCCAGCTAGCTCGAATCTCAGTTCAAGAGCCAGCAGTGCTCGGTTAATGTCAAGGACACCGTCCCGACACTTCTTCCACCGATTGAGGCATCAAAAGGGCACGAGAAAAGGCTTGCTGAAGGGGAGCAGTTGGCATCTGCAATGTAATTTGGGACACTTCGTTTAGGCATTCAGCTTATTCAGTTTACTCTATGTTCTAGATGTTGACATCTACCAGAGCAAGGCCAGTGATATCCTCGCTCAGCGATATATTTCGTATGGCCAAGCGAATTACTTTCTCGACACATGACACTTCTTGTTCCAGCTTCAACACACTATGAATCCGATGCTCAGCACTGCGCTTTAACACACGTTCAATCGGCACGCAGCAATCAGTGGCAATAGTCAACGGCGTCCCTGTGTGGTTGCCTCACGATGGTGAAGAAGTCTGACGCACGCAGTGGAGCGCTAGCGTGTTGCGTGTCAGCGTCGTCAGGTTCATCGAACTCAGCGAAAAAACTCCCCGAGGCCAGCCCCGCACTCCTCGTCGTCTGTATCGCCAAGCCCTTGCGTCTTGTATGCGCCGCCTTCAATTCTGCGGCGAACTTTGCGACGTAGTCTGACTTCGGACTTGGTAGCAGTGCTATGTGCAGGGCGCTGCCTCGCCGTAGCTGGACTGATCTGAGGGCGTAGACACCGTACGCCGCTGCTGCAGAGGTGTGTACAGCGGATACAGTGCGGGATCTTCCCGGACGGCCTGACAGGGCATAGGGGCTGACAGTGTGCCTACTTCCGGACCATTCTATTGTTAGCAGTCTGAAAGTCGAATCTTTGACATTGCGCAGGGCGCCATCCGGATGGCAAAAATCGAGGTCGTGCTGGCCGTGGGTGTCAGAGCGAAACGAGAAGGGCGTCATTGAAGGGAATCCCAATAGCGAGAGGTTGCCCTTAGCTTCCGTTGATTCAATGGCGGCTATGCGGACAGAGATGGCGGGCCCCCAGTAAGCCACAGGGAGCGCCAGGCGGCAGGAGTCTGGACATCTGCTCGCCCAACATCCACGGCGAATTCGAGATTCAAGCAGGACGCGAAACACTTGGACAGTCTCTGGCTCTTATTCGCTTCGCTGTAGCCGCTGCCGGAATGGGATCCTTTTGACCGGCGCTTAGTTAAGTCGCTAGGGACAGAGCTTAATGGGGTTAGAGTTTGACACCATTAACAAATCTGAGTCGCCTTTGACAGCTTTCGACCAGGCTATCGTCTTTGACAATCGCGTGCCACGTCTACGATATACTCCCACCATATACGCATCAACAGAAACTGAGGCGGTGCGTGTCATCATCACCGATGTTCAGCGTCAAGCGGAGCATGCGCGGCCATCTACTCAACCTCGTGTTTCGTGATATGGACACTCCTTCAGCGATAATAATACCGCCGGGAATGGGATTCGGGGTGCTGTGCCTGCCATAGGGAGCTTGGATCTATTGTTAGAGGGAACGCTTGGGTAAAGCTTGTCAAACCTACCGTTAGCCGTGGTAAAGTTATTGCTGTAGATGAGATGAGACGTGGAATCACATCTCAACTCTAGAAAAAAAACCGCCCTCAGTCGCGCCGAAGCCATCGTTCCAATCGCACATGACCTAGCTTGTACCTCCGTCCCCATCAGGAGCTCCGACCTGCTGTTCTTCACTATCACCTAGGGTAACTCCTTTCACTTTTGTCGTCGCCAAACGGGTCACATCTTATAGCCTTATTTAGGTTTGGCCCAAGAGGTTTCGCAATGGTCTTCACGTGTCGTGTTCATAGGGAACCAGTTTCCTTACAACAGTCCCGCACTACTAACACAAGTTGGAATTAACTAAGCGCCACATTATTTTAGGAACCGCTGAAATTTTCTGGGGAAAGATCTATATTCCAACCAATTTAAGCGCTTGCAGAATTTTCCTTCATTTCCATGTTGGTCATCCGTCATAGTATATATATGCGCATCAACCGCACAATATCCTTCTCGTTTACCATTCACTCTCAAAAACAAATCACACAGCTTAACACAAACGGATCATAAGCCTTTTTTTTAAAAAAAAGTTCCTCTACTTTCACTGAACACTAAAGCCATGGCCGCAGCACCACCAGCCTATCAATTGGGCATCTTCACGGTAATGCGTGGTACCAATATGCAAACGCGGCTGGCCAAGTATACTACGTCAATGTCACTACCCAACAATCCCAATATAATATTCCGACAGGTTTCGAAGATCAACCAGGGGTATGTAGGTCCTAGACTTTACGAATGAAGATAGTCAACTGACAGAATCTTAGGACCAATGGGCCCGCGACAACGGTAAAACTTGGCCACAATGGTAATAGCCTGAACAGAGTAATATTCATTGTGAACGGCGCTAACTTTCCAAGGCTCAATCAGCGAACAAAAAGAGCTGTGCTTCAAGACCCAAATCCCCCTCCGCCTTAAACATATCTTGATCATCCCCACATTATTGCTCACATGGGGATTGTCGAAAAGACGCCCAGCTCACTGGAGGCCTTGTACTGAAGAGTAGTTAACGGCATTCTGAGGGAGCTGTTTCCAACCAGCGAAGGGTTTGACGTTACTCAAGAGGAGACTAACGTTAACACGAAACCGGACTCGACCATCTTCAAAATCTCGTCCCGTCCTGGGGGAAGTCTATACGCGTATGAATTCTGTCTTGTTGAGAGCAAGCGGCTTGGCCAGTCTTGGACAGCTACCGAAGATCAGTTGGCAAACCACACTTTCAACACCGACAATGATTCCAAACAGGTCTATGGAATCGTCCATATTGGAATGGAGATAAGGATATACAGGGCGGATCGCGGCACTCTTGTACCGCTAACTTCGAAGATGCATTTGCGCAATGACGTACATACTATTATGCAATGGGCGGAGTATCTGAAGAGGAATCCGCTCTCCTTTGTCTAATTCTACTCCATGCAGTTGACGAGCGGGAGACTAGAAGTTTCGTGGTAAGGGTGGCACGGAGGGTAGGTTAAGTGTATGATGCTGGCGTTTGTTATGGGATTTCAGAAGGTCAAGGTTGTTTTGATGGATCTCGGTCAATTGTGGTGGACGTGCTGTAAATGGTTTTTGTTTTGTCATTGCGCAGTGTTTTTGAATGTAGCATTAACGCTAAGTGAACGGTCTGCTTTATTTTGAATTTAAGATTGCTCGTTGAAACCCAGTCTGTCCCCAATAATCAGATCAAGTGCCTAGGGCAAATCATGGCCTATCTAAGCAGAGATGACTCTTTAAGCGCAAGGATATCGGTAACAGATATTGTCCTTCTCCAAACTCATCCTCGGCATCGGTATTCACAAGAGTTGCGCAGATTCTGGCCCTAGAATGCCTCAAATTCGATCATGGTCCCTAGTCGCTGAATGTTCTGACATCCAGATGTCGATTTCCTTTGTATGAAATTCCACTCATGTAATTATCGAACCAGAGCTGCGACTCGGCTGGAGTGATTTCGCTCCGGTTTCTATGGGCTTCCTCTCTCTCTAGGGGCAAGTCACCATCTTTCCATAAAAAAGGTAACCCAAGCCCTAAAATGCAGCCCATCCTAGCTGCTTCTACAGAACCTTGAGACGTGTATTTGATGATTTTGTTTTGGATCTCGGTGGGGAGATTGTGGATTGGCGTTTGGCACGGACTTGTAGAAGTCGCCGAGAGGAGCATGTCCAGTGCCCGGTCTGAGAGACTGTCTACGCCATTGAAGCAGGGCTCTGGTTGCGTCCATTCTACCTTGTCTCTACTGGCACGGCAAAAGACAATATGCCTTACCGATAGAATCAAGTATGTGTCTACAACGTCCGCCGATCGTAGACACGAATCCCCTGCATTTCCAGTTTTTGTGAAGACATGACGCTGAACCAGTGAAAGACCTTCTTTAAGATCTTGAGACATTGCAATCCACAGTTGACCAACTCGGGTAAAGTGACTGTCAAAAGGATCCCATTCTGGTAGAGAGTCTATCCACACCATTGGTCCTGACGATTGGCCGTGTCGAGGTTTCGTAATCTCTACGACATTAAAGTCTAGAGTCGCTATTCGGATGACGGCTCGGGCCAATTTGCGGAAGGTGAGGTCGTTGTATCGACTCCGAAGGATGTGCCGCCACTGATAACCGAAATCGTTGAGTACACGGGAGAGAAAAGCTTTGTTCCTTTCAGGTACATAGAGTCTGGGTTCCCAACATGGCGGCGTAAGCAGAGAATCATCTCCTAAGCTTAAAGTCGGCTGTCTTGGCGGCTCAAGCGGCTCGAAGTCACTAAGCGTGATAGGGCGCTGGCGAACAAGTGGAAGAGCAAGACGGCCGCCACAATCCCTTTTGCTGAAGAGAAGCATGTCGTTGTCCAGTTCGAAGGTCCAAACAGTCTCAATGCCCGCTCCACGACGGTCGCCGAAAGGATAGAAAGTATCGTATGGCAGCTGCCATTTCACTGGGAGGCCTTCATGCAAAGCATCGAATGTGGAATCTCTAAAGCGTTAATTATCCTTATCCACAACGAGGTTTCGTCCTCAGCTTACCTTTTAGGACCCCGTTCAAGACTTGAGAGAAAAGTTCCAAGCAGTCCGTGTCGTATGCATCTAAGTGACGATAGCCTGAGTATATCGTTCCTGCGGCACTGTCAAACTCTGTGTTCAGATTCCATAAGATGAATGGAGACTAGACCTTTTGCGAGGATAAAAAAGAATGCGCCCATTATCGTTGCTAGGCAGGCTATCCTTTTGCGAAAAGCGTAGGGTTGGAATAATTACATACAAGTTTGACGGAGAAATGAATGAATGAAGTTCATTACACCGCGCGGGTGCCTTGTGGCCTCGGGCTTAGTGCCCGGTGGTGCCTGTGCCACGCTATCACCATTGCGGAAAGAATTGATTGCGCACGGACCTCAACACCAAAATGACGATCAAAACACCGCGTCTCTCTTACCTTTCACATTGCTATTATACAACAACATGGAGCCTAGAACACCTGAAAAAGAGACTGGACGTTTTGAAAGAGATACTCTACATAGGGCACGCTTTTTTGAAGCATATGATCGCAAATACCTAGTACTTCTTTGAATTCTTTGTGCAAACGCAAGGACATCTTCATCCCTCCATCCACTGCTCGATATTGGCTTCGCCAACGCGAAATTCAAGGCTCATCTGCATCAAGGGGGACGAGAAAGCTCTCAAATAAGCTAGGCCGCAAGCAGAAGATTTGTGCATCAGACCTAGACCACTTAATTGACCTTAATGACCCTGTGCATGAGGCGCCGCCTGAGGGTCAGATCGAATATCTAGGCTTAGATTGCACAACGCGTACATTGAGGTCCAGTCTTCGCGATAGGAAGGATTCTGGGCGCTACAAAAAGGCACCTGTGCCTCCATTATCTGAAAAGAATCAAAAACTGCGCGTGCAATATGGTCATGATCATCAGAATAAGACCATCAGAAACTGGTGGCAATATGTGTATTTCACTGATGAGGTCCACTTCAACTCAATTGATCTTGCTTATAGATCACAATGGGAGACTCGACAACGAGGAGCGACCAACGAAAAGCGGCTACAACCAACGCCAAAGGTACCATTCAACGTCACCCTCCATGTGGCCGCTGGAGTCTCATATAATCACAAGGGCACCTTCCTATTCTATAATGATGAGGCAGAACCAGACCAGAAGGTTTAAAAACCTAGCCGACCTCGCAAGTCTACTGTTGAGACTGATCAACAGCACCTGGAGGCAATTGCAGCATGGCTCAAAGGTGGTGAGCATCCACTCAGAATCAAGGCCAAAGGCAACTCAATGACACAAAAGTACTATGCTGAAAATGTACTGCCGGCTCATCTACAGCATATGAAGTGGCTTGAGCAAAAATATAAACATAAGTTCATCTTACAGGAGGATAATGATCCATCACACGGCAGCCGCAGTCTAAACAATGCGCCTGTGAGGCTTAAGAACGATTCACACATCGAGACCTTATTCCATCCCGCACAATCAACTGATCTCAATCCTATCGAGGCACTTTGGATGATCATAAGGAAGCGATTACGTGGTGGTAGGTGGCAGAATGTTGCCGAGTTCAAGGCGGCAATTGAGCGAGAATGGCGCCGTATTACGCAGGCACAAATCAGGCGCCGCATATCAGAGATGCCGGCGTGTTGCGAGCGTCTTATTACCTCAAATGGGCAGCGTCACCGAGGCTATAGGTGGTAATTCGGATAGTTTTGCGCAATAATATGAAAAGTATATACTTCCGTTTTGGGACTAGTGGCCCCTGCGCAATCGGTTTTTTCTTATCTCAGCTAGCTCAGCCGATTGGGGAGAGAAGGGGCGAAGCCCCGACAGGGGCAGAGCCCCTGATACCCTTGCTAGTCAACATAAACCCATGCTAGTCGCGCTGGTGGCGCTCACGCTATCTTTCTAGCTAATAAGGATGCTAGATTTAGCTTCTCTCCCTAGCTGTCTAAGGGACTTTAGTAATTAATTATATAGACAACTAATTTTAGTGCTTACTTTTTATATAAGAATACATTATATTAATATTTACACATTTTTTCTTCTTTTTAAACATTTTTAAACTTTAGGCTAATAGCTACATAACTTCTTACTATTATCTATTAAATTATTACATGTTTTGCATGTTGTTTACTATATAAAATAGCTAATAAGTCTACTAGTTTTACCCTGCGTCTACGCTAGCGTCTACAACTCTTTTATTTTTCTTTAGCAGATAAGCTACTACTTTTTTTATTATTACCTTTATTATTACTTTTTTTTATGTTCTTCTTACTTTTATTTATAGTTGCTGCTAAGCCTTAGGCTTTAGTTCTAACAACTTATCTCTTTATAACTTTATAAGTAGTAGGTGTGTCTACTTAGCGCGTTTAGTTGTCTGCACTTATTTACACCCTAAGATTAAGGAAACTAGAGCAGGTCTTAGCATTAATAGATAAGCTATAGATGCTAATAAGCAAATTTATTAAGTTATATTTATAAGACCTACTGTTGTTAAAGGCCCTACTGCCTAGTAGACATAAAATAATTCTTTAATTAGCACTAGAACAGCTAAACATTTATGTAGCATTAAGTAAAGATAATAAGGCTACTAGTGTTTTTAGTTTTATTATGTTTATAAAAAAACTTAATAGTTTTATTAAGCAAAAGTTTTTTAACTAGTATAATACAGCCTCTAGGCTAGATAAGGTTAATTTTGCTAAGTTAAAGTTAATTATAGCTAATTAAGCTCTAAATTAAAGTAGGTTTATTAAAAGACTTTTATAAAATAAGTAAAGTGCTTAAGGTAGTTATAGCAAAGCTAAGAGTTTATAAAATAGTAAAGTATATCTAATTACTTTTATTATCTTATGTTACTAGGCCTAGAAGAGATGCAACTACCTTGCCTGCCTACTAGGTTTATATTTGCATAGTAGTGGTACAAAATAGCGCGTTGTAGAGACATTGTTAGGCTTAGGTGTTTATAACTTATATAAGATTATAAATTAGAAAGTTAATAAAATAGTAGACTATATAAAAAGCTTATAGGTTATAATATTATATTATATAGCTTATGTCTTACCTAATGCTAGGCTGCTAGGTCTTGCGCATAATCCTTAGTTAATAATTATGTATAATAATTATAACTTTACTAACTAGACTTGTAACTACACTGTAAGTGTTGCAACAGCTATCTAGTAGAACCTAATAATAGCGCTTATTATAAGATGTCTATAGATCTTTAAGGATAGTTTAACCTAGTCTATGTTTAATCTTAGCATAGCATTGCAGCCTAATTAGATCTGTATAGCGCCTGGCATAATTTAGGACTATATAAGTAAGTAAATTACATTGTGCTATATATTGCGCGCTGTAGCTGCTATCTATAGTGCTGCTGTATTAAAGGTCTTTATTAGCTTAGAGGACTAGTTACTATTAATACTAGCTATTAAAGTCCTACTGTGTAAAAAACCTAGCTAGGTAAATTATCTAAAAGTAATATTCTTTAATAAGGGTGTTATTAATAAGACTTATAAAGTGCATAATAATATTTAGCTTTAGCAGTTAAATATTTCTACAAATCTAAAAAAGCTAAGCTTTAAAACACAGCTATAGATAGTATAAGGTAACTAGAAAACTACTAAGTTTATACATAGTCTTAAGAAAGAGCAGCGTAGCGCGTTCTAGCTATACAACAGGAGGGATTAGATAATTAGACTACTTGTGTATTTTTATATTCTTTAGGCACTTACTTATATAATTATTTGTACGCACTTTAATACACTTAAAAGTATAGACTTTTCTAGTAATCTTTTACATAATATTATGCGCTTAAACTATGCTAGTATTAATTAGAGCAATATTAAGTATTATATAGCTGTGCTACTAATATATCTAAGCTAAGGCGCTTAAATAGTTATGTTGTTCTACTAAAAGATAGGCAACAGTAGATATCTCTAAGGCTAGGTGCTAGATATCTATGCAGCAGATGTCTAGTAATACTAGTAGGGTCTTTATAATAAGGCTATTAGTTAGCTTTTACTTAACTAGTACATTAAGTTGCTTAAGCAGATACATAAAAAGGTCTTTACACTTACTATGTAAAAGGGCTGCAATAATTCTAAAGGTAACTAAATAATAACATGTTAGTTTTTTTAAAAAATTAAGATGTTTTTTACTTTATAGCATGTAGTTAAGTTTAGTAATATTAGAATTATTTATTACTTAATTAATCTATTAGCTGTATTCTTCTTTAGATCTAGTTAGAAGCGCTATAGTACTAAGCTGCTACACCTTTGCTAGTTAGTCTTAGATAGGGTGTTAACTTTAACACTTTAGTAGTCTATACTTGCCTCTAAGTTAGTTAATGTACATAGGAAGCTAGACACTTTCTAAGTAGTTAATATTATGCTTAAGCTTATAAACTATATGTATAAGCTTAATATGCAGCACTTTAAAAATAGAACTTATAACATAAACTTTACTTTTAGTTATCTTACACTATTTTACTAGTTCTATATGCAACTCTGTGCGCTAATAGAGGGCGCCTTTAGAGAGAAGAGTAAGAATAAGCATATGCAGTGCAATATTAAGCTAGAGACATTTGCCCTTACTATTTATCTGCTAAGTTGTAGGCGCTGTAAGCGCTTAACTAGTTAGATTAACTAAGAGCTCCCCTAGCCTATTATAAGCCTTAATATTATTGCTAGTAGTATTAAGTTGTTAATGTTAAAAGTTATAAACTTTAATATTAGTAATGTTATATCTAGTAATTATATACTAGCACTAGATGTAACTAATCTAGCAAGCATTAGCATAAAAGAGTTATGTTATATTAATGTAATAAAATTTGCAGAAATAGTTAAAAGCACAACTTATAGTAACTCTAAGGGTTTAGTTAACAATCTAATTAATAGTAATTTTAATAAGGGTCTTAATAAAGCCTTTAAGAATAAATAAAGTAATTATATATTTATATTTTATATATACTTATAGTAAGTACTTTTGTAATGTATAATAGTGTTGTAAAGCACTATTTACTTAGTGCAGCTAATTAGACACTGTGCGCTGTTAGTTGCTTACTAGTTTTAACAACTGCGCAGTGTTAGGTACATAACTGCTCTTTAGCCCTTTTATATTAGCTTATACGCCCTTGTCTAACCTACAGCCTATCTACATATTACATGTATTAAGATAAATTCCTAGCTATAAATTACCTAGTTACTAGCATACTATTATAGTTTTACACGCTTACTATTTCTAAAGGTTCTTTAATTATAATAATGCTTATTAGTTTAATAGTTTTAAAAAGTCTATAAAAATGCTTATATTTTACTTAAATAATTTAGAGACGTAGTAGTAGTAAATAAGGTTATATAAAAGCTTAACTATATTAAAGTAAAACTTAGTTAAAAATTAAAGGAGCTAAGGCTATTCTAATTATAGTAATGTTATATTACTATGTGTCTTAATTATTATAAACTATCTACTTATATTTACTACCTGCTGTTTAACATAGTTTAACTCTACAACACTAATTAATTAATTACATGCAACATACATTTACTCTAGTAAGACTCTTCCCTCTCTTTATTTACTACTGCTGCCTAGCCTGCTTATTATTAATCTAATGCCTTATAATTACTTATATACATTATATCTTACTTATTTTTACCTACTTTTACCTCTAAATTAGGCAATTTTTAGTTATAATTAGTAAAAAATAATTAAAAAGTTATAATTTTTTATGCTAGTTAAACACTAGCGCCTTCTATATCCTTTTAAATAATCTTATAACATGTACTTTTACTGCTAGGCAGAAACTCTAGTCTAGTTAGGTGCTTTTACTACTAAGGCAAGAGCTAAAGTATATATAGGCCTTTTTTTTAAGGTTAAACTTTTCTTAATTATTTTTAACTTTTTTACTTTAATTAGCTAAGTTTCTTCTACCTTTTTAATTTAAGCTATACTAAACACTATATAGTTACTCTATTCTCTACCTTACTCTATAGGTGCTTGTCTACCTTTATTAACTAGCTAAGTCTCTCCTCTGTCTATGCGTTAGGCTGTACTAAACACTTTACAGTAACATAGTCTTACTTTTTCTTTTTTTATTACCCTTTTTAATTAACTAAACTATTTTTTTACGCGCTTCTAAACTTTTTTTTTTTACTTAACTATGTTCTTAAACTTTTTCTTGCTGTACCTTTTTTTAATTAACTATATTTACTTTTTAACTATTACTTATTGCCTTTCTGCCCTCTTTTAAATAGTTGCATGTGTTAGATTTAGTTGCTAGTGTTATGTATTAATAAGTGTATCTAATCTTCTTATATTTTTAGACTAACTATAATATAACTCTAGGCTATAACTATTTTAGATTAAGTCTTTTTTTTTTTTTTTATAGTTATGTATTTTGTTGTTATGCTTTATATGCTTGTTTCTTTTTTTTTTTTTTTATTGTTCCTGTTTCCTTCCTAGACGCTAGACCTGGACGCTGGACCTAGACCTAGACCTGGACCTAGACCTGGACCTAGACCTAGACCTGGCTACCTTAGACAACAATTAGCAATAATTAGCAGGCACAAAGTTAAAACAGAGTTCTAGAAAGTCTAGTGCGTACTAGTTAGAAGAGACTGCATGCGTGCTAGTGCGTACTAGCAATTAGGCAACTAGGCACATGCAACGTTTACTACATTGCTTTAGCAATGCTGTATTAGTAGGCAATTAAAGGGCAATTAGAGGGCAATTAAAAGGCTATTAGAGGGCAATTAGAGAGTAATTAAAAAGCATTTAAGACATTTATAATAATTAGTTTATCTAATTATAATAATTAGTTTACTAATTATTTAGCTAGGTCCCTTCTAAACCTAGTTTATTAGTAGGCACTAAAGGAAAAATAATTTAAATAATCTTACTGTAAAACTGCTATCTAGCTTAGTTTATTTAGTTTTTATTTAGATTATTCTTAATAGTGCCTAAAGTTGCAAGGCTAAGGGCTAGGTTTAGGCTCTTCTATAGCTAAGTAGTGTCTATTAACAAGTCCTCTTAGTTATATAATGTAAACATTCCTTAGTAGAGCACTATAGTAGGGGCATCTTTATAGTCCTAGAAAGATTTTAAGCAGACAGCAAAGCATTATATGCTAAAGGCTATATTATGTAGAACTATCTTTCTTAGTTAACTAGCTCTTTAGAGTCTAGAAAGTCCTGCGCTTACATAAAATAGCTTAAAAAGTGCTTATTAGTTTAGATAGCTGTTACTGTCTAGCTAAAAAGTATACATAGTTTATATTATTTAATCCTTTTGCTTAGTTAGCTAAATAAGGCAGATTTAACATAAAAATAATTTAATATAAGTGTATTTATTATATAAAAAAGTGTTTATAGTGTGTTTATATAAGCAGCTAAGCGCTAATAGGTCTAGAGCGTAGATATAGCACATATTTTTAAAAGAACTGCTTAATTAAGAAATTATATTTATGCTTAGCATACTTTATTTTAACTTTATTATTAATAACACTTGCTGTAGCTACCTATATACCCTTCTTTAAAAACAATAATAATAATTGCTTATAGGTTGCCCTACCTAGGCTTCTACATAATACGCTAAAGATATATAAACACATAATATATATCTATAACTGTGCTAAGTTTCTTTATTAAATTCTTTTAGCTACTTTTAAATTTAATATTTATCTTACTAAGACCCTTTACTAAACTTTCCCTTTATACCTACTATCTCTACTTAGAACTATAGCTAGCTTTAGATCTGCTACTAAGTTTATCTCTAGGCTTAACCCACCCTACAACACACTTGCCTAGCATAATAATATAAAGATGTAGGCCTAGCAGCTTTTCTTTATCTTATAGGTCTTCTACAACGCGCTTTCTGTCTATAAAAAGATGTTTAGTTAATAAAGTGTCTTTTTTAAAGTTAAAAATAAAGCTTATTTATTACATCTTTTTTTCTAGCTGCACTGTGCACAAAACCTAACACCTTAAACGCACACACCTTACACTATAGGCAACCCCTTTAGGGAACCCCTTTATACAAAACAAGAGGATGCGCTAGGGCGGCTATAAAAACAACAACAATAATTACTTATAAGCACTACTTTATCTGCCCTAGTGTATAGCACTCTAGGAAACTAGTTTAAATAAGTAAAGCTATTACTAACACTTTACACCTAAACTACAGCAAGAATAAGTATAGTTAGTTTAGTATTCTAAAAAAAACTATTTACACTCTTATTAATATATCTCTAAGCTTTGTGTAGTTAGAGTTAATAATATATTTTAATAATACTTTTAACTATTTAACTGCAGCTTGTCTACATTATAATAAATGCGCACACTACTTATATTAGCTGCTTTATTATCTAATAGGCGCTTTTAACGCTTACATGTTAATCTGCTTAGAGACACTACACTAGCTACTAAATTAGTGTGTAACGCATTTACATTATATAATAGGCTCTAATAAACTATAGTAATTAAAGTACAAGAAGTTCTTAACTATCTTAGTGTATATAGCATAGAGGACTAGCGCACAGCCTATTTGCCTCTACAACCTAGCTTAGAAGTGCACAGGCTAACAGTAATTTTATCTAATGTAACAAAAGGCAACAAGACTATTCTAGGCAGTAATAAGTAGTAACTACTACTAGTTAGCGTGTGTAGGACCTAGGCTAGCATAAGGCTCCCTATAATTACAGCTGCGTGTTGCCTGTCCCTTAGCAACATATACAACTCTACACTTAGTAAGTATAGTACGCTAAACGCAGTAAAGGCTGCTGTAAACAAACTATTTAGACTAAAAAAGTGTGCTATAACTATAAAAAAACTGCTTTAATAACTAGAAATATTACTAGGCAAGAGATTATTCTATAGAGAAAAGTTATTATTAAACAGTAACTTTAGTACTATAGTTAACACTATAAACTTAAACAACACATTAATTATAACTAGTTTAAGGGGCAGACTATATTACTTTAACTAGTTCTATTACTAGCAATATCTATGTTATGTAGCCTACACAGCTAGACTGTTATCTTGTATACAACTACCTAATAAGGCCCTAGTAGCATTGTGTATACCTAGTAACCTAGAGACATTACCTGTTCTAGGGAGCACATTGTTTTTGCAAAACTTGCTCTGTACTATAAGCATAATACACTTAAACTTACTTTTAATAAATGCTAAATGCAACTCTATAAACTTCTAGTCTAATAGCAGATAATTTTATACACTACTAGTGCTATACCTACTAGACTTAATAAGCACTATAACTTTATTACTTTTAATATTCTTTTATCTAGCAACAAGCCTTACTAGCTTCTATTAGTTTAGGTATAAAAAAAACACTAAAGATAAAAGCAGAACTAAAATATTATTCTTAGACACACTATAGACTTTTAAAAAGTACTAAAGAGCAGATGCCTAACATATCTTTTAAATATGCTATAACATAAGGCTAGCCTTACTCTTTAGTGTTAGCGCAGTCTTTTTAGCAGGCAGAGGTAAGGCGCTTTAATATAGCATAAGTGCTAGATTATAACTTATGTAATAGGTAACTTTTTTTAGAAAAAGTTGCTATGTTAATTATATAAATAAGTTATTTTAGAAATACTAAAGCAAGTGCCTATAATAACACTTAAAGTTAATTAGGTCTTACTACTTAGGCTTAATACTAGCCTGTTAGTTTAGCTGTTTATTTGTCTAATTAAAAGGTCTACTTTTATGTCTATTATACTAAAATATAACTACATAATTCTATAAATTAGCTAAAGTGCTTTTAACCCCCTTTTCTATAGCCTCTAATTTAGGTTTATTATGTAGGGGTGTAGACCTAGGCAGAGGTGTTATAGCAGGAGTAACAGGCGTCTAACTACTACTAGCAGATGCTTAATTTAGCAACATTATAGTTATTATTTGCCTTAATGTAAAGAGCTTTATCTTATAATAATTTTTTACTTTTATAAGTTGCTTTTTTTTTATCTTTTACTTTACCTAGCTGCTAGCCTGTCTATTACTTATATCTAGATTAGTACTAAGATAGTTAAACACATAGAAAAAAATAAATAATATAGTAACTATAGTCTTACTATAACTACACGCGCTATAACTAAACTGCTGTATTAAATTACTTATATCCTAGGTAATTAAAATGTTTTATTAGTATACCTACTTAATTCTAGAGATATCTATACTTATTCTAAGTGTAGTTGTACAGACAACAATCTAGATAGAGGCATTAGCGCCTTTAAAATTTTAATATATCTTTTGCTAGTCTGCGTCTGCAACCTAACTAGTATACGCCTAGACTACCTTCTTAGCATCTGCTATAGAGTAGTGTCTATCTAACACAAGACAAGATTAAAGAAGCCTTATAAGGTTAGTAATATAAGTGTAACTATTAATAAACACACATGTTTTTAAAATAAGCTTTAAGTTACTAAAAGAACTAGTAGTACTAAACCTATAATTAATAATATGTAAGAGCTAAGCATACATGCTCTTACTATAATTATTAATTAAAATAATAGTGTACATAATCTTAGAGCAATCTACGCACGTCCTAATTACCTCTAGGCTGCCTATTAGATTATTACCTATCCCTAGACTGTAAGGCCGGGATGGCGCTTACGTGTAAGGCCGAGATGGTGCTTACGTACAACGGGTATATATACTATTCTGTACGCAATAATTAACGTTAGTTAATTATTTGCACCTTTTTAGTTATATTAGCAGAGTAGTGCGGAGCCCTGTCCTTACATAATAATTAACTAACAGCAGGGTACAGTTAGTGTTTGACCCCCACCTCAGACAGCTTTGCTAGTTTTTAGACTAAAACATAAGGCAGCCTCTTCTAGCGCCACGTTGTTGCTGCTAGGAGGTCTAGTGTATATAGCTTAGCTGGCGTGGGCCACTAAGCGTTGCGTCGTGTTTATCCCGCGCCTCTGGGCCGCAGGTGGTCAGCCTCTGGCCGGTAACCAAGACATGCGCATAGGCGCCTCTGAGCTGCGGGTAGGTCATGTGACGCCTAGGACATGCGTCTGCTAAGAAGGGGGATAATGTAAGGCTAGGATAGCGCTTACGTGTAAGGCCGAGATGGTGCTTACGTACAACAGGTATATATACTATTCTGTACGCAATAATTAACGTTGGTTAATTATTCGCACCTTTTTGGTTGTATTGGCGTAGTGGTACAGAGCTCCGTCCTTACATAGACCCTCTAGCCTAAAGCTACTAAAACAGCGTACTGCCTTTTCTGTCTACTTATTAAACGTAGCAGTATAAGCAAAGAATATTATGTTAAAAGATAAACACTACTAAAGCTTATAAAACTATAAATACTTTTTCTAGAAATCTTTCTACTATTATATAATATAGCACTTGTCTAATGCTACTAACTTAACTTAAGCATAGAATATAGTATTAGTAAATAGCTATTAAAATACTAGTAATGCAGCCTACTTTAGACCTAGTAAAATATAAGTATATAAAAGCTACTAAATCTTCTAAAATATTTTTAAGTTAGCATTTTTTATTTATTTAGTAACTAGACATAGACGCGCTCTAGAATACTAGTAGATTACTTTAAACTACTTATTTTTTAGCTTTAATAGTAGTATAATCTAGAGCGTAATGTTGCCTGTAAACATAAAATATACATATAAAATAATGCTCTTTCTAAAGCTAGTGTAGGCTACAAGGATTATATCCCTAAGGCTATACATAAGCTAACAGACAGCGTGCACCTACTACTTATGTAGCTCTCTACTACCTAACAACTTCTACATAGCCTAAGTAAGTAATAGCATTTAATACTAAATATTACACTTTATAAAACACTTATATACTAAATTTTATAAAGCATTAGCACTTAAAGTATAACAAGCTTTAATATAAAAAAGCATTATACTAGCTAGTCTATATACTTAATTTAGCGCTGCATAGTCCTTATTTAGCACTAAATAAGTGGTCTTTTCTAAGTAGATAGCTAGAAGACTTAGCGCAAGCTATACTTATGCTAGCCTCCTACCTAAACTCTAATTCCCTGCGCGCTAACCTAGCCCTCTAGTCTACATAGTAGCTACTACAGCAAATAATTAGTAGTATACATTAAAAAGTGCATAAACAAATATATAAATAATATGTAAAAAGATACTTATAATATTTAGTGTCTAAACTACTTACTATGCAAGCGTTAGTACTATTTTACCTACTGTAATAAAACTATATGTATAGGACAAAATTAGCAAATCTAGAAGCTAGAGGTAGTTTATAATAGTAAAAACAAATAGCGCCTAAAATATAAGTGCCTTATAATACATAGGCGTAGATAATAAGAGGGGGGGGGGGTTTAAAGTAACACATAAAATTAGTTATAAAAAAGGTTGCATTACGTGCGCAGATAGATTTAAATTACTCTAGACATTATTAGATTTTATTTAAAATATGCTTATAATGTTTTTACTAAAGTTTTACGTATTGTATTAACTTTTTAAGTCTGTGTATAATATATCTATTATACTATCTAAAATTACGTCTTTATTCTTAAGTAGTTAAAATTAGTTGTATACATAAAAAATTACTAAAGTCTTTTAGACAGCTAATAAAAGAAAATGTTAGTTGTAGGGGTTTAAAACTACTAACCCTAGGTTATACTCTGTTAGGAGTAGCAGTATGCATAGTGGTATGTGCGTTGTCAGTTCTCTCATCAGCCGGCTAAGCTAGCTGAGATAAGTTTTTTCCGCAATGGTATCAGCCCTAAGCCCGTCTACTCGGTCTCCTCAGTCTTCGACGATCCCCACATGGCTCGTGAAACTCCTGAATCAGATCCATACATTTCGCGAGGTTGTCAATGGGTTCCCAGGTGTTGGCTGAAGTTGGCCATCCCTGCCACTTTACTCTGTAGAGTGAGGTGCCCTTGACCGTATCATGGCCAATGATAGCTTCAACTTCGTATTCATCCTAGCTATTTGACATCGCACCAAAGCCCGACGGCGCCAAGTGGGTGTTGCCAATCTCAGTGGCTTTCACATCGTGATGCAGCTCCGTTTCAACGAGCTTATGGCTAATGACGGCATCAGTCGGGCGATTATACTCTTCATCTTCGGACTGCGTCTCCATTGCTGGCTGCTTGAAGGGGACACCCAGATTTTGTGCTGTGTGTGTCATCTCCGTATCTCTCAGGCCACCATCTACCGCAAATTAGATTGAAATGGTGCAAAATAGCGATGCGGCTTACCAGTAATGTCCAACAATATCGGATCAATGGTAGGCAGGTCGCTCTGGCATATGCCCTGTACTTCCGCTCGACAGACCACTCCACGATCTGTAAGGCGGTTCTTTTCATCCACCTTGTTGTCATCTGCAGCGCTTGTTAACTCAATTGTTGCAATCAATCAGTTCTCCCACTCACTGTCGTCGCCATCAATCATAGCATGGCTGCAGGAGGCAGAACTGCCAGGCGAGGCGTAACCGGAATCGGTCCAGAAAGCTTCCAGAGCTCCGTCCGCTCCTTCGTCACCTGCCCCTTGTTAGACCAATCAAACCGGATAACAGGAATTTGTCTCACCTGTACCTGTTAGATCTATAGTCTCAAGTTCTTCTTCTTTGATATCATCCAAAATTGACGGCAGTGTATGATCGAACGGTGAAGTATTGAATACATCGTCAATGTCGATAAAATCGTTCTTGAAGCTTGGAATACATTTTCTTATCGCATTGACCTGACATAATGACTCCAGCTCAGCGTTCTCAGCTTTCGACACGTCGTGGCTGGAGTGACATGGGGTGGAGACGGCATCAGATCCGGCTGCGTGAGCGTCCAGATTGTCCGGACATGTGTCCGGAGCTTCACGCAACGAGTTGAGCTTCTGCGCAGACGGATAGGAAGTTCGCCATGGTTCCGACCAGGAGTGCTGATCAGCCAGACCCAAGGCGATCGAGTCGACTGTGCTGTTGAGAAAACCACCTTCTACCTTGCACTCCTTGACAATCTTCTGTCGTTTGTTGGCTTCCGTCAACGGTTCTGACTCCTCACATTTTTGGCGCTTGAGTCCATTTCTCTGCCGCTTGGGCTTCGGTATATGAACGCCATGCCAGTCATGCAGATGAAATTTCAGCTCCAATATGGAGTCGAATGATCGATGGCGACACTTTGGTATGAATCCAGCGTCGTTGTAGTGTCTCTCATAATGATCTTGCCACGAATGGCGCCACGTGAATTGACGCATGCGGTCGGAAGCTGGTAATCTCGAGTCGATAAGACAGAATTCGCAAAATCCAGCCACTGCTAGAACACCATCGTCCATGAGAGGATCAATCCACGCAGGGAAGGTTGCAAGGTTGTCGACATGCCATTGGCAATGCCGTTCCCACTCATCCTTCTCATCAGTCCATTCGTTACAAAGGAAACAGAATTCCGAGAAGCCACAGATCTCAGTCTGGGCTTTCTTATGGCATTCCAGTACGTGTCTCCAGTCGTAGACGTCATTTTTCTGTCACAAGAGCACCGTGACGGCTCCAAACCAGGCCGGAATTCCACCTCTTTATCATCTTGAAGGTACAGCGCTAGCAGGTCTTCAATGACTTGCAAGCCTGTTTCACTCCTCATTTCAACCTCTTCGAACAGATTAAATTCAAGGCGGCGTCTCTCGGGTTTCATAAATCTGACACGAGAGTAGAGCTCGTGCTCGTACCTTGGCGGGTCGTCGAACGCCTGGCCAGCTCGCAACCATTTCAGTCTGTCCGTCTTTAGCGATTCAAGTTTGCGCTTAAGCTTGCCAACTTCTCGAACACGCGTTTCTCGGTCTATCTGGCTTTCTAGCTCCCGATATTCCTTGCTGTCTTGGAGATCATAAAGCTCACGCGCTGGTAGGGATTGCAGTAGGTTTGGGACGTAGGGGATGTTCAACTCCTGGCTGACCTCCAGAACGTCCTTTCTTTGCTCTCGGCCCAGGAAATTTGCCGCGCCATCAATCGTTTCTCGGGGCTGGTAGTGCCTGCGGAAAATGCCGGCTTTCACATGTCCTCCGAGTCGCATGCGAGATGCCTCTTAGTGTTTTTCGTCTATTCGACATGTTGGTCAGTAGGAAGCAGCCAGTACATAATTGATGTCCTTACCAGCATTAGTTAGTCCTTTACGTCTAAAGTCGTGAAAGTTTGGAGCATTGGGAAGACCAGCACGATAGCATGCGTCTTTGTGTCTTCGGTGCAATGATGACGCCGTCTCAATGCTTTCCGAATCTTTCGTTGAGCATTCGAAGAACTGCTTGCCGAGAAATTCGTGCTTCCAATAGATCCGAGCAAATCGCTGCTCCTTCGTTACCTTGATGTCCAGAAGTTTCTGTAGTAGCTGGCGTCTGCTCGAGGACTGATAATCTCGAAATGGAGTTCTCGCAAGCAGTATAACAAGACAAAACATGAAACAATTTTCATACAGCGGGCCTGTCATGTCTTCGTAAAACGTCGTCTGGCCTCTGTGCGAGCAGTCAGTCCGCTAGTTCACTGATAAGTCAACATGATTGACATACCTGTCTTGGGGATTATCTTCCTTCCCTTTCTCATCTTCAGTGAACCGAATGCAAAGCTGTGTTTTCCCAGTTCTTTCATTGAACATCGCGAACATATCCACATCCTACAAACTTTTATTAAAAGAATGCTATCAGATCGAATCATCCTCTTACCTTGAAATGTGAGCCTCTTTTCTCCCTCTCGGAATCTTCTCGTGCAGACGATTTGGCTAGATCACCAATTCTATGGGAGCCAAAGAAAGAGATCGAAGACATTGTCCAATGAATTATCATCGCCTTGAGCTTGTTATATTGGGTGTTGTTTCGTCGGAAAGTGTATACCGCCAGGATCCCATAATGAAAATCACTAGCAAACTTTGATTCCCTTACGGAGTCTCTCAAGTTCGCGACAATGCGTAGAAATGGCTTGTTGTACTTGAAATCTATCAGCAGTCTACTTTGGAAAATATGGATGTGGGTCTCACTTGGGTCATATGCTCTTTGTGCTCCACAGAGATTGGGTGATTCATCCGCTTGCACCAACCGCAGAAATTGTTCCAACTGTTCCTAATAGTTTGGTAGCCAGCTCGCTGTCGCTGTCGCTTTTCCTCTTCGCTGAGTTGTTTGAAGTAGTAGTCATCACCCTTCCTGCCAACGGTTGCGGTTCCGATCCTGAGCATAAATTCTTCAAGGCTCGATAGAGAGTTCACCGATGCTCCGGGATGAGTTGCTACATAACTTCTCAAGTCAGCTGGAGCTAGCAGTGAGTTTCGACAAAATGCACAACGTACAGCATCCGACGACCCATTCTGGTTTGGTTACCTTTCACGCCTTTGGACGGCTCGTACTGTCCTTGTTTCGCCTTAACTTTGGATCCATCAACATTTGATATTCCCGCGTTACTACGCTCGAGAAAATCTCGCTCGCGCTCGGATATTTCCATGCCATGATATAGAATGGTCCCTGGAGGAGCCATCTTGAATGGACCGAAGGAGAAAACTGGGAAGTTCTGGTCGGGACGAAAAGTAGTGATTCTATAAAAATGAACAATGTCTGTTGAAGAATGAAATAAGCGTAGAAGCACGCCTCCGTGCACAATGGAAGAGGAAGCAGAGACACTCAAGGGCGAGGGCGGTTGTTATATGCCTTGAAGAAAAGTCGTAAGCCTCACATGGATGCGTTGAAAAGATAGAAATATATATCCCATTGAACAAGACGAGGCATTGCTGATGCAGCATGGCGTGTACCTCTCACAGTAAGGCTTGAGGGTCCGAAACTGGGACCCCGAAGCGTTCGTGTAAACTTGACAACTTTCACTCATGGGCGATGCTTGTTCCGGATGGTCCATAATCGGGACTCTGAGAGTGACTGAGCGAGCCTTGAGCGACCTGAGGCGCGCGTGATTCAAGGTTGATTGAGACTGAGCACGACTGAGCAGGCCGTGAGCAGTGGCGGTGCAAACATGAGCAGGGTTGAGCCGAGATTGAGCCGAGTGAAATTTTGCTGATGTAATGTGCCAAGTCCGACTACAGCGCCTTGCAAAAAGCAGGGTACAGATGTTTGGCTAAACGCTTGGCCACAGTCCCCTACTAAAATTAGTATAACTAAGGATGTAATTACTTTCTCTATCTATATAAAGCTCTATTATTATAGTAAATAGTTATATATAACGTGTTTCCCATACGAGTCGCTAATCCAAGCGAGTCGCCCACTTCAAAACCCTCACAAATCCTGCTTATTAAGCAGAATTATCTCGAGAACTACTAGTTATAATTTTCTATAATTTTTATAGTAGATTTGTATCTATCTTAGTATTTTTTTTTTAAAATATCTAAGCTCTAGGTTTTGTAATTATGTAGCTATTTAAAGGTCGGTGTTTTTTAGTCGCTTTTTTTTAGTATCTTTTTAATTACTTATGCTAGAGCTTAGATATTTTAGGGTTATTCTATTTGTCTGTGTGGAGCTTTACTATAAAATTTTTAGCTGATTCTAATTAGTAGTTCTCGAGATAATTCTGCTTAATAAGCAGGATTTATGAGGGTTTTGAAGTGGGCGACTCGCTTGGATTAGCGACTCGTATGGGAAACACGTTAAGTTAATTTTAGAGTTATAATTATAATAACCTATAAAGGGGCCTAAACAGCTACCTCTACTACTAATTCTTAGTTATCTCGTCCTAAGCGCTAGCTTAAACCCTTTTCTTGCTACTAATAAGAAAAGACCCTTATACTAAATAAGTAGAAGCTAGGGAAGAAAAAGTAATTATTTAAGAGACTAGTAAAGGGCTAAGAAGCTTTATAGGCTATATAAGAGTTACTCTAAAAAGTAGAAAATAATATCTATATATTTAATGTTTAACTAGATGCTAATAATAAGAATGCTCTAAGTAAAGCCTTATAAAAAAGAGGGGAGGGACTAGAAGAGCATAATTTAATAAAAAGGAAGAGAAGGAGACTAAGGATAAGAAACTTTATAATCCTATTTGCTTTGCTAAGCGTTAGTCTACCTAAATTAAAAAGAATATACTACCTTAAGGCACTTTAAATTATTATATATTTTCTTTAGTTAAGTAGAAAAATTTTAATAAATAAATTAATTATATTTTTAATAAGCTTTACTTTTATAAAGCTTTACTATATTATAGTTATTTCTTATATAGGTTTTTTTAGCTTATAAAGTTTTTTTTAGTTTAATAAAAAAGGCTTTATATATTACTAGAGGCACTAGGAAAATAATAAAGTAGAAAAAAGTTTACCTAAGAGCAGTTTTAAAAAGAGTTAGTGCTAAGCTATTCCTAAAGCAGCTTAGCGCGCTAACATAGGAAAATTTAATAATAAAAAGTTAATAAGAATAAAACATATTTATTAGGCTGTTAAGTAGCAAGGCTATTAAGTAATAAAAAGCGCAGGCAAGGGCATCCGCCTACGCTGCTCTTTACTTTACACTAACTTTTATATTTATATACTATATTCCTTAGACTCTAGTAAAAATACTAAAGCTAAGTATGCTATAGTTATAATCTACTATAATAGCGTAACTAATAGTTTCTAGCACTTATATAACTATAATCTTATATATACTACCTAGAGAACTAAAGTCTGCTAGTAACAAGACTAGCCTTTATAATCTATCTAGGCATAAAAGCACTTAAATACGCTAGGGCTAACGTTTAATTAAAGGTAGTAGTAGAGTTTATAGTTAATAATAATATCTAACTTATTATAAGTTAGTTTTATAGCTAGGCTATAGTTATAGGCATTTAAGAGGCGCTTAAGCTATACTGCCTAGGCTAGCAAGTAATAACATAAACTAAACGTTTATAAATAAAAGTATAAGTAGAGCTTACTAGTTATCACGTGTATAGATGTTTTTAATGTTATGTTTTTATATTAAAAAGAACAATAGCCCTAGAATATAACTTTATAAACTAAATCTATAAACTTAAACCTATAGACCTAACCTTATAAACCTAAACCTATAGACCTAAATTTATAGACTCTAACCTATAGACCTATAACCTATAGAACACATATGCCTATCTATGCATAATTCTAAGTACTACTGCCCTTAGCCTAGTTTTTACCTTTAGGAGTTAAACCTTTCTTTATAAGGTTGTTAGCCTTAGTCTACATCTTCTAATACTCCTACGCGTTATAATTCTCTAAGTTCCTATAACCCTTAGCAATGTGCTAATTATAGAAATTATAATACTGCTCTATATTACAACCTATAGTAATTATAAACTTAAAGTCTCTCTTCTAAATTATAATTTTCTTGCTATAGATTACTACTAGCTAGGCACCTACAACATAATTAGTCTAATACCTTGTCTATTACTATTAATTAGAGACTTATACTTTATAATAGTAATAATAAGGAATTCTAATATAGTCTAAAGAGCATCTAGAGTAGATCTAGTAAATTAAAGATTAGCTTTAAAGTCCTAGGCAATCTCCTAGACAACTCAACAGAAAGTTATGTAAGGGAAGAAGAACTTCTAATTATTTATCTTAGATTAGAAGAACTTAATCTAACGTAGCAACTTAACTATATATAATTAGCAAAAATCTATAAATTAATATATAGAATACACATTAATCCTTTGTAACCTAGTTCTTGCTAGGTTCTTAGTAATTAGCAACTTGTTTTCTAGACTTTAAATATTTAATTTGCTCTAGAGAAGGCGCGTCTAGGGGCTTATAGGACTTCTTCTTGCTACTATTAGAGCAGGTAACTTAGATACAAGGCTGCTTTGTTACGACATTCTTCTAGGAAGCCTTACTGCCCTTTCCTCCCGTTAGGACTACCATACGTTAGCAGCGTCTATTACTATGTCTAATACTATACTATACCTCTACTAGCTAAATTTATACTACCTTTAGTATAAGATATAGTAGCTAAAAGGAATAAAAAAAGCAGAAAAGTAATAGGCGTGTTAGTGAACAATAATATATTAGCTAACGTATTCCACCACCGAACCCGCCAAACCACCGAACCCGACAAAATCTCTTGGCATTGCGAACACCACGTACAAGACGCGATGTCTAAACAACACAAGACTATACTAACTTAGCAAGAAGGCAGAATTATCCTTGCGCTCTAGGCCTACTGCTTACGCTAATTTAAACGTGTACAACAAGCTACAGCAGCTTTTAACGTGCCTTATTAGTAGCTTACTGCTTAGCTTAACAGAATTACATTTTAACCTACTATATAACTAAATTGCTAGAAACTTACTGCAACTAAAAAGCAAATAATTATATAATATATCCTTAACCTTAATTTGCAAGAATTCGCGCCCTAGCTATGTAAGGTAGTAGATATAGCAAACAGACTGTTAGCTGCGCGTAGTAGAACACTAGTAGAGACAAACTAGCCTACATAGTTTATGTCTTGTACAGAGAAGCTTAAGATAGCGTTTAATTAAGTAAAGGACTACTAGAGAATACTCTAAGAAGACCTAAAGTTAATTACAAAGTAGTTTAAGCTTGTATAAGACACAATAGCAAAATATAGTGTTTACAATAATAATATCTACAACTTTAACAAGACTAGCTTCTAGATAGGCATAATTAGCACTATAAAAGTTGTTACAGGTTTAAAAAGACGTATAAGGCCTGTCCTTACATAGCTAGGTAACTAGAAATAGGTTACTGTAATCTAGAGCATCTGCGCTACTAGCTACGCTACCCTACTATTTATTATCTACAAAGGACGCGTCTACATCTTTGCCTAGTATAAGGAGATGTTAATACTGCATAATTAGAAGCTATTAGTCTTTAAAAATAGCTAAATAAATAACGCGCTTAGTCTTAAGTAGTTAAAGCACTTTAATAAGCATACAAAGACGCGTTAGGTAGAGGTATATAAGCTGCTTATACTAGATAGCTATAAAAGCTACCTAAACTAAAATTTTAAAAATTATTACTTTATATAAAAGATCTTTATGCTTTGTATACCTACACATTTATTGCATATTCTCTAGCTACTTAACGTAGTGTGCTTCTTACTGTTAAAGCTTAAGTACTCTTAGCGTGTACAAGACTTAGCACACTAACATGTGCAGCATGTTAACAAAGAACGCTTTCTTTTAGCCTTTAAAAATGCGTTTTTAGACATTTTTATGTACAATAACTGTAAAAAGGCCTTTAAGGCATCTAGACTAGTTCCTATTAACGCGCAGGTAGTCC